ATTTTGCTTTGTTGACCCAAGAACAGCAGTTACTGACCAGGAATCAAGTGGTTATTCTGTACAGTTACAAAGTCATCTGCCCACATATGAGAATGATATCTGCAGTGATAACACTTGTGTTACACTCTGCTGAAGTGGACAGAAAGTGGGCCTTCACATTAATGCTAATGATGAAAACAAATTCAAATCCTACTCTGTTTTAAGTACAGTAGATGCTCTGACTGGGGCCATATGGCTAGCAGATGGATGGAGTGTAGTTTCATTGTGCATTCCACAAACGAGGCAGGATACAAATGGAGTCAGTGGGGTTACTAAAAGACAGAGAGCGTGTAACACAGTATGTATTAGCATTAGTGTCTACACTAATGTTTAGATTTAGAACAGCTTCTTGGCCTCTGTCACTGTGGAGTTAGCCTGTCATTTTCTATCCATTCCACAGAGTTCAGAAGGTCATAACACAAATTTGCATGCAGTGCCCAATGATGCAGTGTTGTGCCTCGCTGTGTGTGGGATGGACGGTGGGTGTGTGAGTGTGAGTGTGAGAAAGAGCGCTTCCACTGCATAATGACTTGGCTGATGTATTTTTTAGCTCTCAGATGGGTTATATTTCCATCCCATCGTCTGCTGTGTTCTTGATTAAATGAAGCGTGGATTGGCTTCCCTCTCCTGATAGACAGCGAGGACTTACGCAGAACGCAGCGGGAAGGAAAAAGGAGAAGCGAGGGACAGAGACAGAGAGAAAACAAGCCTTGCTTTGTTTTTTATTTTATTTTCTTTTTTTACTGATGCTAGATCAGAGCAGGAACGGCAAATTTTCGATTATGAAAGCATGTAGCAATTCAGCCTGAAATGGCTGTAGGGATGTGTGAGAATTACACGATGAAATCCTTGTCTGTTAGGCTACATATGGAAGCATATTGGTGCATAGTCTGTCTAGGAGGATACTCCATTAGCCTTCTCCATTAAAGTGAGGTGAGACTTGGGTGCTGTCTTAGTGATATTTATTGATATTCCAGCAAGGTTTTGAGGCCACTGTAGGGAAATTTAGCCAGGGTAATGTGCAAGCTCCGGGAATGTTTCACGTAAAATGAAGATGTATAATTTTAAATGACAAAGAAGCCAATTTTTGTTGACTCAGTTAGGGCAATTTGCCTGCACTTGCAAACCCCGTAGGTCTCGATAGTCAATTTGCCGGCATTAAGCTAAGGAGTTTCAATTTCACATTCCAGCAATAAAGCAAGTCCTCCCCTCTTCTTCCTCTTCATATCTCATTCTCCCCTCTATTCGTCCTCGCAGCTTGACATTTTCCCTCTCGCTGTCTCCCTCATTTTCCCATTCCTCCCTCTAAACTCAGCCCTGGGTGTCACGTTTGAGGCATTAATTGAATAATTAATTCCTCTCATTAGCTTGTTTTTAATTATTTCCTTGCCTCCCCCTCCCCTTCTCCATGCCGAGTATAAATTCATCAGCTGTTTTCATCCTTCCACACAAATTGCCCATGAAAACTGAACACTTGGCGAAGTATAGCGTTAGCACACTGGCTCTATCAGTGGCTCCTAATGAGGGGACGGGTAGTCCAGGCGGAACAAGCCTTACACTGGCTTCGTGCACCAACAGGCACAATACTAATTTAGCTCATTTAGTGTCCTTGGGCCAATTAAAGGGAGGTGAAAAGGTCCAAATCACATGCTGGAACTGTTTTCTCTATAGAAGCAGTGGCCTTGGATTGCAGAGGCCCAGACAGCAGCAGCAAACCAAGCCTGTGTGTCTGATTGCTCGTTTGTTTGCAATGTGTTACACTAATGGAATTTATTTACCCTACATTCTCCAAATTTGGCTCCTTTGAAGGGCCTTATTACTTGTGACACAGATTCTTTCCCAGCTAAGGGGGTAAACGGTGCTAAGGACTGCTATGCATGGACAATTTTTGCCCCCTCCCAACCCTAACACCTAATATATTATGCCAGTGGTGAATAAGCAATCTAGATTCAGTCATTACCTTGATGATATAATGAAATAAACACACAGAAATGTTGAAACAGGCAAGGTCCGGTTCAGTGACCCTGAAGCCCACTGATAGATGCAAATGACCATTGTATTCTGGCATCCACTCAATCTGCTTCTGCATTGTTTGATGTTACTTTCATTTTGTTCTTGTTTAACTGTGATTTCAGTTCTCTTCATGTCCAGTCACAGTTTGAGTTTATTTATGTATTCACACATGTCAAGAACCTAATTCTCAGTGTCTTTTCTTTGCCTTACTACAACATTTTATTGATTTCTCTTTTTTTTTTTTTTCTTCCTGTTTTATGTCCTTTGTTTGCTGACTGGGCTTTGTGTTGCATGCTTGTTGTCATGTCCCAGTTTGAATGTAGCCAGACAGTCAGCAGAACCATGGGCATCCAAGTCAACAAAGGTAAAGTTAACCCACTTACCCACAACCCACCTGTCATCTCCCAGAGACAGCCTGCCACATTGCTCACCCACACTCAGACACGATTTCCAATTCCACAGTCCAAATGAGGGGAGTTCTGAGTGGCAGAGAGTGGGCCTCATCCACCAACATTGTAGCAGAGGCTTCTAGAGATGGCCTTAGATGTTTGTGCTGTAGCGTTGTTTGAGTGCGTACCCTCCCACTGACTCCCTACGTGTTCTCTTCACTTTGCTTTGTTGTGCTTGCAGCTTGTAGCGTTTTCTACCTCATAGCTTGCCTGAAACTTTTAAGTGCAGGGCAAAATTTTCTGCTTTCTGGCTCCAACCTCTTTACCCAGCGTTAGAAGGTGTATTTGGGGTATTGCAGTGCTAGTAGCAACATGAGTTCAATTTTCCCCTGCTGTATCTGCAAAAATATAATGGAAAGTACATTTCAGGACCCCCATGATTCCTCATTAAACAGCAGTGGAGCGCTGCAGGTGAGTTGCTTTTGTGTGCTAAATTGCGAAGGTATGTAAACCTGTATTGTTTGGTACAGTTGTGAGCACTGATTGTGCATAAACTCGGCTTTTAAAGGGTAGTTGTTTAATCGCAAATTGCCATTTTGATTGATGAAAGGCAGAAATATGAAGGTACTCATTATCATGACTGAAGCATGTAAGAAAAATGAGCCATAAATTCAGCCTTCAGAAATGGTCCATTAAGTTTAACCTATTGCCTAAACCCTAATATGCTTGGCTTTTCTAGTGGCTTTTGACGCATATAAATAAGGTATATCAAAGTCTTCTTGTGCACTTTGGACCACTTTCAGCATGATTGCTGTTTTTAGGGCACTCCCCGGAAGTCTCGTTATGACCAGTTGCCCTTGTGTCTCTGTAATGTTGGCTTCATGTCAAAGGTAGTTCAGTTTTCAGTTTCTCCCACTGAAAACGCTGCAACAGAATCCACTTTGCGCTATTTCCGTACCTGGATGATTGAGCGTGCATCAAGACATGAAAGCTGCACGGTTGGTGCTGGAGAACCAGCTGTTATAACCAGTGATCATCCTCCATAAGAATTGTGGGTGGTTTAAAATAGGATTTGTTTGCTCTATGTGCAGATATGGAGATCCATGGTGCGATCACAGTCTGTCACATCCAGGAAATAAGGGGCTGTAACGGCATCACAGTTCAATATGATTATAATGGGACTTCCTGGGAGTGATCTGAAAACAGCTAGAAAAAGTGTGGACATGCCCAAGACAAGATTTTGCTCACAGCTTATATTGACATGATCGAAGAAAGAAACAGTAAATCTGACTCCTGAACAGTGGTTTTTTGACATTAAAGGGGAAGACTCTTTAATCTAACAAAGCAGCACCATTTTTGCATCTTTTTATCTAGTCACACACATCAAGACACACTTCCAAACACCCACACAAACTCTGCGAAGCTCTCCCTGAAAGAAAGCTGTGCAATTCACTATTTTATAGAGAAAGAAAAGAATAAATACGAACATAGAATTGGGTGTTTTGCAAACTTTTTGCAGAAACTTAAAACTATGTAGGATAAAAAAGAAAAGCTTGAGTCAATATGTTCGATATTAACTGCTGCTGGGAATCAATCTGGAGCCGTTCCTGAGGCGGGCTGGGAGTTAGAGTCCAAATAATGAGTCCCCACCTCAAGCTCACCGTGGCATAAACACATAGTTGTATGAAGCCGCTGATCTGTCAGCACAATAACCAAGAGAACTCCAATGCCAGACGCCTTTGGACTAAAAAAAAAAAGAAGGATAACATTGCAACGTTACAGCCGGGGAAACACGGTTTATGTATTTGAGCCAAAGGCAGAACCTTCAGAGTCAGCAGCGTCCACTTTATAGCCCAGCTTGAACTTTTTTTATGTGCTATGTTAACACCTACAGTGTAAAATCAATAATGCAGATAGCGAAGATAGCATTTCCTTGCACTAATAACCAGATTAGTTATCTTCTTTCAACATCATTCCAAAAACATGAGCTTCAAAGCCCTCCAGCACTGTGCAGGAGGGCTTCAAGAATGAGATTATACTCATACTCGCATCCCTTATATAGTAGTCGTAGTTACTGTTAGTTACTGTCAGCTGTGTAGCATGTAGAGTCTTTTCTTTCACTCTGTCCTCGCATTCACAGTTCACCTCTAAGCACTGACGGATCAGGATATTGAAAATATAGGCTGTTCCAACACATTTCAACTGTAACCATGCTGACATTGATCACTGTCTGCACTGTTTCTTTCCATGTGTGCATCATATGTGTGTGTGTGTGTGTGAGTGTGTTATATATATATTTTTTTATTTTTTTTTCGTGAGAGCTGGTGAGAGAGATGGAGACAGGGAGAGACGAGGGGTAAGGTGTAAGCTCAAAGCAACAACTGCCTGCTCACCTGATGAAGGTGTGGGAACAATGCTGTTGTTTCAGGGCAGAGTTGTCAGTGACTGTGATCCTCACCCCCCACCTCCCCCTCACCCCACTCCCTCCTCCTCTGTCCTCTTCTCTCTCTCTCCCTCTCACCCCGTCCTTGTCTTCTCCCTCCCATTTCATCACCACAGAGGGAAAAGCGATGGAGCATTTCGTCTGCCGGCGGTGAAAAGAACTCATCGAGTGTAAGTAGAGGGGGTTTCTGGCAAAGAGAGAGGGATGAGATGGGGCTCGAGGGCAAGGAGGGAACGGAGTCAGGCAGAGATGGTGAACGGGAAGAGGTAGACACGCAGTAGCAGCACAATCGCGTTAACCTAGTCTCCCAGGGATAAAGTTGGGCTTAACTGCAGCATTACCCACAGTCCTGCATTACAAAATGTTCCTTCGCCAGCATTTAGCATGCAAATTGGCTCCTAGATTATGCCTTTTGTATTCATTTTACCAACTGTCAAGCTGTGACGCAGGGAGAATGATAATCAGGCAGATATTGCCCCCTAGCGCCTCAGCAACGATCAACACACACTGCGAGGGGGGGTGGGAGTGCTGTGCTACTGCAGGTCAATGAGTCGTGTGTGTGTGTGTGTGTGTGTGTGTGTGTGTGTGTGTGTGTGGAGACAGACAGGGACTGAGGGTGTGAATAACTCAAAATGAGTTATATGTGAGTACTTCAGAGGAGTTTCTGAAATAAAGCAAAGGTAAGATTGTGGAAAACAAAACAAAAAAGTGAAAGCTGCAAGAGAGCTACTGGGAGGTGGCGATGAAGAACAGAAACGGTAGCGCTCTCTCTCTTCTTAATGTCCAGACGGGCATCTACTCTCAAGATGACCAGTGAAAATACTTTAAATATTCATCTTCTGAATGATTATTTTAGAAGATGAATTTCCAGCTCAGTAAGAACAAAGCAGCTGGATTCATTGTGTCTGTGGAAAGCATCACAAGTGGTCCACCTTGTTCTTTTGTCTTTGTATGTTTTTGCTCCACCAAGAGTCATTTGTTCCAGCGATCCCTGGTGTCTTTCCCCGTTTGTGTCTGTGAAATCACTGTGTGAGATTGCCGGGAGATAACGAGTCCAATTTGAATAATGGCCCTTATCTGATGAATAATGCCACCTCCTCTAATTCCATTTTTTGGCTAATCCCCCGACATGTATTTTACATGCATGGCGGGCTCATCTGCAGGCCGTACGCTTCCATCACAGACCCTGTGCTTAGAAGCCTTCATGCTTTTTGTGAGTTTATTTCTGGTTTAGAGAGTTAGGAGACAGAAGATGTGTGTGGCACACATCAGAGGTAGCAGAGGTAGCATTTTTGACTAGGGGTGCAACGATATTCGTATCGATATTGAACCGTTCGATACAGTGCTTTCGGTTCGGTACGCATATGTATTGAACAATACAACATTTGTAATTTATTTTATCAACTTTCCTTCTGACGATGCTGTCTGTGTGGAGCGCTCAGTGAATCTGTGTTCGACTACTCCGCCTAGGGTCGACAGTGCAGCCTAGGCACAAGAAAGTGCAGCTTTATGGTTTCATGGACAAAAGAATTTCTGTGGCTGCAATATGACGAGCTAAATAACCAGGGCTGCACATAAGTGGTCCGCAGGTGCGCATTCGCTGTCAAAATAAAAAACGCGCACAAGGGTTAGGGTTAAATTTAAAAACTGTACTTTTGAGTTAAAATATATATTTATAATTTTAAATGACAAATTAAAAAGGCATGAACATTTTTTTGTATCGAAAAAATATCGAACCGTGACACCAAAGTATCGAACCGAACCGAACCGTGAATTTTGTGTATCGTTGCACCCCTAGTAACTACTGAAATCTTGTCCACGTTCCTTAATCTTCACTTGAGAGTAAATGTCTCGGTCTTCTGTTGATGGTAATATGCAACAATCAGTGCAAGAACCTTTACAGTGAGACTTGAAATGGACTATATATATATAT